ATCTATTTTTTATGGTAATCTACTAATCTGCCTGTTCAAAAGGTAGCAAAAAAAACATATACTTATTTAGACAAAGCTAACTTGGTGAAAATGGTAAACACGATAGACTTAAAATTTGTTCCTACGGGTTATCGATTACTCAAAAATTGAGCAGTGATTTAGCTAAATACGATGCAGACCTTGTTTTTGCCGATGTGGTTATTAGAGAATGTTTAAACATAAGCATAATTTATTTGTGTTCAAGTGTGGTATACACAGGTCTCCTGACTTGCTATTACGAGACTTGGTCACCGATTCTAAGTACTGTTCTCTACCCCTTCATCCATCAAACTGTCTTTTGTTGTTGCAATTGTTTGTTTTAAAAAAGATGTAATTGTGATGAGACTATGCTGCAGGGCCCTCCTACTAAGGTCATAATTAAGCCTGAAAATTGGTTTATCAATTCAAAAGTAGTAAAACTGAATACTTGCATTTGCTTGGGTTTCTTGGCACGATGGCATTGGTGGTATCCCTGCTAACCCTTTGAAACTTAATTTTTTTTTTTTTTTTTTTTTTAACAAAGCTCATGCTGAACCCTTTGAAAAAAAGGTTGACCATTTCAGTCAAAACGATTGCGCATGGTATCTGCCACACAGATCAGACAATTTTTTTACTATAAAACTCAACAATCCCCTAAATATTAGACCAGGACAAAAAATATCCATGGTGGATTGAGCGATCCAGACCGCAAAACGAGCAGTCAATTTCTGGTGGGTAGCCTTAACCCAATCATATTGTCGGAACGGACGAGGGATCGACTGTTCACATTCCACACCCATTTGTCATTCTTTTTTTCAATTGACCATCCTTCTTAGACCAGGACCAATTGCATCCATGGCGAACTCTGTGACTAAGTGATCCAGGCAGCAAAATGAGCGGTAAATTCCTGGTGGGCAGCCTTAACCCAACCATATTGTCAGGACTGAAATGGGACGGTCAATGACATTCCACACACATTTGCTTTCCTTTTTTCCAAGTGACCATCCTTCTGTGTGTGTGTGTGTGTGTGTGTGTGTGTGTGTGTGTGTGTGTGTGTGTGTGTGTGTGTGTGTNCTGTGTGTGTGTGTGTGTGTGTGTGTGTGTGTGTGTGTGTGTGTGTGTGTGTGTGTGTGTGTGTGTGTGTGTTTGTTTTCCTTGGGCTTTGATATATTATCACGGAACTACTGACAGGCCTTAGGTAATTCAGAATTGCAGTATTTCGCTCATTTGCTACCTTTTTCCGACACCGTATGATCATTATAGTAATTGTTGTATTTAGACTGAAAGATACCCCAAATACGGCTATAATGATCGTACGTTGTATTCATGGGATGAAGGTAGTGGAGTTCGAACCCAGGTCTGCATTTCACCAGTTCAGGGGTGTACCAACTGAGCTAGGCCAGTTGGTGAGTGACCATCTTTCCATCACTCATCCCGAGAGCGGTTTTAGAGAGATATGTCTGTTTTATTTGGAATACATCATGAGGTGTCGTCCCGGTACATAGCTAAGAGAACCGTATTTGTCCACACCTCAGCGAGTGGGTACTTCTCAGCATCGCTACATCCGTCTGTACTAGCTGCAGAAAACTATTCTTCTCTAAAAAATTATCTAGTTCAACAGCGGGGGCAGAGTCTTTTGTACAAATTTCTCTACTTCGACGGAGCAGGCAGAACCATGTTTTGTTAGTGACGCACTGAAGGGACGCATGCCCATAACGCATGACCTTTTTTTTTTTTTTTTTTTTTTTTTAAGCCCAACCAATTCAATCAAATTTGGATAGGACGGGCTTTCTGGCCTTTTTTATTGTCAGTATATAGTATTACAGGAAACCCCGTAGCAACCACATCCGTGCTCAAGCCTCCAACAAGGGAACATGTGGTAGCTGCACCTATCAGCAGGTGCGATACCTGCTACAGCAGGTGGGCAATACCGGCCAGCGGTCAGCCGGTAGTATCAGGACCGAGCTTCTTCGATGGGCCAATTACTGTGCCTCCGGAGGGAGCTTCTTCGATGGGCCATTTGCTGTGCCTCCCTTCCAGTCTCCTCCCCCTATGAACATCAACAGTCTCTGCTAAATGCCACTCGGAGGGACCAACGGCCTATCTCTAGGTGGCGGGCACCAAGCTTGCCCAGGAAAGTACATGATGCCAATGGGAATTGAACCCAAGACCCCTTGAATGCCACTTGCGTGCCTTACCAACTGAGCTAGGCCGCTGGATCGCATGACGCATTTGAAAACAGGCTTGGGCTCCAGGGATATACGAGGGAACGGATGATCCCCAACTCTCTCTACCATCAACACAATAGAACACTGTAGTAATACAACATAAATAAAAGAGATTCAAAATCGTAACTCAAGAGTCAGGGTTGGCTATCCTCCTAGTACATAGCATAGGGTTGAGGCTGGCATAGCAGTACCTTAGTACGGGATGTTGGGAGTGTCAGAAGATACTGCACCTTACCGTGGGGACGGAATGGGCTCCAGGGATACACAAGGGAACGGAGGATTCCCAACTCTCTATCATCACCACACAACTGTGCTAGATGAGAGCCACTAGGCACCCTCATGAAGACCTGTAGTAGCATGTTCATACCTAGCTCCCGAAGTCCCCGTGCAATCGGGCTTGCACTGCGTCTGCTTCATTCAGGGCTGAGCATGGGGGTAGGTGTCTCTGCTTAGCCCGGGTGGCCCCGCCAAGATGGTCATGGGTGATGGTCCCGGGTGGTTAACACTAGGGTAGGACAGGGGGGGTGGGGGTGTGCCAGGGCAAAAAGATGAGAGGAAGGGTGGGTGGGGTCTTCAAAGGGTTCAGTTGCACAACCGAGTGGCCAAGTACTGTGGGTGACTGCCATCGGTCTGGTATCCCACCTCTACAACAGCCTGGGCTTTTTATTTGAAAATCTGAAAAAAAAAAAAAAGAGGGGGCTTGATTGCCTTTGCCCCTGGAGTGGGTCGTGAGCTACCCCCCACTGCACAATGTCTGCCAGCCTCCAATGCTCAGTACCGACCACTGGGCCGCACACCGCCGTTCCCAGTGGGAAGGGCGAAGGCCTTCAGGTATCCTTGCGAAACCACCCTATTCGTTCAGTGCTACATAGTTCAGCTTGCACTAGCCCACTTCATTCAGTGCCACCGCAGTTCATTTACGTGATTTCATCTGGATTACCTGATTTGATCCGGCATCCAGTTCCCAATCTTATCAACTGTTATGGGTGCGCCACTCAGCCAGATGGGCTACATGTCTGTAAGTAATAAAGAGCCTCTACCTCCCACCTCCTCAAGGTTATGTATTTAAACGGACGCTGGACCCGGTTTCCAGCATGTGCAGCTCCCCACCAATAGATGGAGTGACAGGCACAGGTATGCTAGTTGGGGGTGCTCATATCACCTCAACTAGGGGCAGGGAAAATCTAGAAACCGGGACGAGAGGCTCAGGAGTACTGGTGGTAGGGGGAAGGTTGTTCAGCTTGCACTACCCAGGGGGTAGGGGGAAGGTTGTTCAGCTTGCACTACCCAGGGGGCCACGTCCCACTAGCAGCTTGCACCACTCAGCCAGATGGGCAAAATCGAGAGCCCGGGAAGAGAGGCTCAGGCGTACTGGTGGTAGGGAGAAGGTTGTTCAGCTTGCACCACTCAGCCAGATGGGCCTCTCCGGAAGAGAGACTCAGGAGTACTGGTGGTAGGGGGAAGGTTGTTCATCTTGCACTACCCCGGGGGCCACGTCCCACTAGCAGCTTGCACCACTCAGCCAGATGGGCAAAATCGAGAGCCCGGGAAGACAGGCCCAGGAGTACTGGTCGTAGGGAGAAGGTTGTTCAGCTTGCACCACTCAGCCAGATGGGGTCCGTGTCCGTAAGTTTATTAGCCTCTACCTACCTAGGGGCGGGCAAACTCGAGAGCCCGGGAAGAGAGGCTCAGGAGTACTGGTGGTAGTGAGAAGGTTGTTCAGTTCAGCTTGCACTACCCCGGGGGCCAAGTCCCACTAGCAGCGTTGAGTTTCCTCAATGCCTGAATCTGGACCTGTTTGTGGAGATGTGCAGTTGAGGAAACTCCATGCGATTTCTATACATCTCCGCAAACAGCGTCAGATTCAGGCGTTGAGCAAACTGAACGCTGCTGGTGGGACTTGGCCTCTGGGGAGTGGGGAGCATTTCTCTCCTGCTCTGTTCTGTGGTCCGGAATGAAACTGGGGGAAGAAAAACAAGCATCCTTCTGCGACCCCCTTGCGCCCCACGAACAAGGACGGCAATTGTTTTTTTCTTTTTTTTTTGGGGAATGGACGGCAATTGTGTACCCGCCTTGTGGCTGAATGGTAGTCACAAAAAAAAATACTAATTAAAAAAAAAAAAAGAAAAAAAAGAAGAAAAAAAAAGAATGGTTGTCACTCCCTAATTGTTTTTTTTTTTTTGTTTTTTTGTTTTTTTTCTTTCACGCCTAGCTTTTGAGAAGGAGACAGTACAGGAGTTCAAGTCCGGCCGAAGTTTCGATTTGTTTTGATTCTTCGTTTCTGGGCTCTTTTTTTTTTTTTTTGGGTCGTTTCTGGGCATTGATCTATCTACGGTCAGGAATGAAGAATCTGGCTGACCGGAGTGACTGGGCCGCGATACGGGAATCTTAGGAGCTACCCCTTCAAGGAAAAAAGGCAAAAAGGGGGTACCTGTCCAGATACGGAGAGCGTGATTATGATATACAGAGCCCAAGACAGAGAACACCCCAGCTGACGGGGGGAACGCCGAGCCCCCCCCCCCCCCCCCCCCCCCCCCCCCCCCGGCGTCGGACAAATGCTCTCCGTGGGGCTACAGGTGCTGGTTGTTCCCTCCTGTTCCTCTCTTCGAACTTTTTTTTTTTTTTGGTTTGGGTGATACTAATTTTACCACATGGCTCTGTTGCCTTCTGGCAGACTGAGTGCGTGGAGAGAAAATGACTACCTCTCTTCATAGGGGGCGTCACGTTTAGACTGACGTCAGGAATTTGCGATTATCATACGCACTTCACTCACGATCGTTTGGTCGATGAGAGGCTCGTGAGCGCTGTCTGTGAAGGAGAGGGATTAGTGGCCGAATGGGAGGTGAATGCGTGGGAGGCGCGAAGATTACTGTAGATCAGAGGGTGCCAGATCATCTCATGGCGTGCGTGACTTGAGAAACAGAGAGGGGTTGAGCGAGGGGCTCGCCTGATAGGGTGCAAAAGAGCTACGGAGAGGGGAAGGACGAGAGGAGAGGAGACTCAGGGAGAGGAAAGGGAGGAAGAGATGGTGGCAGCGAACGCTGATGGCCTGCGCGCTCTTTCACAGGTCTCTCTACCTGATCACGATCTTCATAGGCAACATCGGCCGCTGGAGGACTTCTGGAACTGCCGAGATGTCGTCTTCAAATGCTTCTTGCTTCTTGATGTCCGTGACCTGCTGTCTGCGAGTCAAGTCTGCCGTGCCTGGCGTGAATTGATCGGTATGTGTCCACCTCCCGCTACTCCTCGATGTGGTCCCGTCAGTCATCATGTGTTCGACCCCCTGCTCCATCTTTATGCCCCTCAGAATTTACGTTCCCCTTGCGTCCACCTTCCTCCCTCCCTCCTCCCTCCCTCTCTCCCTCTCTCTCTCTCTCTCTCTCTCTCTCTCTCTCTCTCTCTCTCTCTCTCTCTCTCTCTCTCTCTCTCTCTCTCT